TTCGAATCTTTTCACATTATTAAAATTATTTGGGAAATTTTAATCAGAACAATAAATTGAATGAAAATTTTGTTTATGATGGTAATAGTGAATGTTTTGTTTGTCACAATTTGGACAAACATTCCATTTTTTTTGGCAAAATAATCCATGTTGTTTTGCATTTTCTGTTAGCACTTCTATTAATTTTTCATAGTTTTAGTTCTAATTGTTTATTCTAATTTGTCTAAAGTTAAACATTCCTAAAATAACTGTCTAATCAAAACATTTTGAACAATACTGAAGCATTTCGATTCTGTTAAGATGCTAACACAGCACAATTATCTTAAATTTTGTCTTAGAACGCAAGTTTTTGGTCTGACGATTAGACCAGTAGAAATTCAAATAAATCAAAATGTTATCTTCTTTTTTTTTAAGCTTGTATTAAAAACCTGTCATATAATTAGTTGCAATTGCACTGTCAAATAGTTGTATACATCCATTAATTGCTTTTTAAACATTTAAATATTCAAATGATTACTTAGCTAGCACCAATATGGAACATCAACAATTGTCACTGTTCCGATTTCTTTATTTTTTCAATTTTTCAAATAATTATTTATAAAACAAAGTTTTGATTCTTTCCAAATTCTCATTTAGAATTTGAAAAATGACCTAAATTTCATGCTAGATATTGAATTCTACAACGGTCATGATAACATTATTTGAGTCATAAAATAGATAATATGAAGGACAATGAAAAGATATTATCTTAATCAAATTATTCCTCATGATCTAAATTCTTCTTAAATTTAATAATATCCCTTCCGGGATTGCAAAATTATTTTTCTCTTTCTGCAATCATTCATTCATTGTTATACGCTTTGCACATTGAATGCTTAATTTGATATGAAAGGCATGAAACTATTTGTGACAAAATTACCAAAAAATTGAGTCAGACATTGACATTTATCACTTTCTTTTTAGATTTAAATATCTCTTTTTTTGAATTGAATTCTGAAATTCTGAACCAAAAAAAAGCACAATTTTAACACCAGAAGTAAATTTTGCATAATGGGGAGTTAATTTTTATTGGTAATTAATTTTTTGCGAAAGAAACAGAATAACAATGATTGATAAATTATTCTGAGATCCACTGACCCGAAATTCATTTCATATTAGTTATGATGATAAAAGACAATCTGTGAATCGCCGAAACTCTGTAATAAGCATTGTAATTGTTGATAAAGCTATCTGATTTATTTCATTTTATGATTATGGTTTTTAAATTCATTTGATGCAGCACAGATATCAACAATAGCAATCTAAGCCCTTCAGTAAGCCTAGACTTGAGTCTAATTAATGTTGCTAAACATCACTTCACGCTTTACTTCTAAGCCAGAAGCATTTCGACATTTAAAAAACTTAAGATGAAAATATATTAATACTAGTAAGAAATATGTGAAAGCGTTCATGCCAATGTTATGAGAGCATCAAAGATGACAAATGTATCCAAAAGATTTTTAAAATAAATCACTATCGAAAATGATAAGACTGCAATATTGAATTGAATTGAATGCCAAATGATCTTTGGATTATCACTTTCTGAAAAAACATTTTTTTTTTGTAACTGAAAACTTTTTTCGGATGCTTAGAATCGTATTACGCCAAAATTTATTTATAGTTTTTGTAACTTTGAAAAATGATGAATAGAAAATACCATGTAGTTAGAACTTCTAAGTAATTTTATTAATTACCAGCGGAAATTTTCGCATCATTAGCCCGACTACAGTTCAATATTTTTGCAATTTAAAATGATGAGATATTTGCACATTGTTAATTAATGAAATCGAATACAGTAAAACCGATGAGATGATTGTATGGCAAAGTGCTAACCAAAAAAATTAAAAATAATCGGCGACATTATATGTTGAGCCACATTTCCTTTGCCTTTCCATGTCAGATAAAGACTTCCTTTGATTATTAAATTTTGGTATTAAAAATAAAATTTGCTCAATATTTATTAATTTGAGACTCAACAAATATTTTGTTACAGTTTATTTCATTTCATTTTTTTCACTTTAATAATAGAAAATTCATATTGAAGATTAAAAAAATTAATCGATAAGATCAATCGATAAGATATAAAGAAATTCCTTTATTAATAGTTCCGTTCTTATTTCTTTTCATTTTATGGGAAATGCTTTTAGAATTTTAATTTAAATTTCACTCAAAAAATGCCATCAATTTTCATTTCATAAACCTAATTCTCTCTGAAATATTTGCTGAATAAATGTTGAATCCTTTGATCCTTTGATCTCTTTTTCCGGAATAAGATCATCCAAACTAATTTGAAATTAGTTTAATTTGGAATTGGAGAATCCATTCATAAGTTTACATTCAAACAATGAACACAAGAATCTATCCCCAATAAAAGCTCAATTGTTCAGTTCATTTCAGATATGCTAGAATAATAAAATATCATGTATTTCATAAAAACTGCATATCAGAATACAAAAAGATATCACTTTAAATTTTGATATAACGATTTCAAATATGGCATAGTTGAAAATATACCTTGCTTTCTGTATTTATTGTGCCGTACCACACCACCAGGTGTAATGCAACAGGTATTGCAAAAAGTTTGGAAGCATTTATTATTATTACTACCTTTATTTATTACCTTTATTATTATTATTGTTATCATTATCATTATCATTATCATTATCATTATTATCATGAGATGATAAGGTAACCACTGGTAGCAACATTTCGAATTTTAATGCTAGCATCCATTTTAGACTACAGAGATTATCACCGATTATAACAGTTGTAAACTGTGGGATGATTTACCGATAACGCAGGTAGAAGAATATGCATTCATATTATATATCAACTCATAGAGAGTTGATTGATTATCTCTATTTAATATTGACGAATCGATCATTTCAAGGACTTATACTGTAATAGTTTCCTAACTCAATTCAAGATTTTTAGTTTCTTTCTTTGGCTTATTTTTACAAAAAAAAGAATAAAAGAATAAGAAAATGATTATATTGTTTTGAGAAAGAATTTCTTATTATTTGTGAGAAATAATGCTGATTTGATAAAGTGAAATTAAAAGCTTCAAATGCTTTATGTAATAAAAGCTATTGATTAATAATTCCGAGAAACGACCATTAAATAAGAAGTTGGTAAAAAGTAAATCAAACGAATGAAATGAAATCTGAAAATCATAATGATGGTAAATATTCATTCAAAGATTATTGAAATTCAATTCATTGATAAATCTCTCATGAAATTGACCATTACCGCATCAGTTAATTTTATTAAGTTAATTAACAATTATGACTCAGAATATGAATTTCATAATTTCATGCTCTACGAGAATTAACGGAAAACTTCAGTCTGCTCATTCGTTTTTTTCAGAATTTCTAAATTTAATCAAATTCATATTGAATATGGTACGAATTAAACTATTACCTTAATCAGCTATCAATTAAAATTCTCTGTACAAATTTCGAATATTCTCTTAATTACAATTCTTTCAATATTTCTCACTGTAAAAAAAAAATATTAAAAGAATTGTAATTAAAAGAATCAATCAACATTACTTGCTAATATCGAAATAAATGTATAGTTAATTTTGAAGTGGTGAGAGAAAATGTAAGATGGATTTATTATAATGTTGATAAGCTTGAAGCAAATGTGAAGATAACCTTATTCCATTGGCAAAAAAATTCAACTTCAGTGATTTTTAGGCGGACGTGGGATTTATGATACAGTTTGTGCTATTACGTCTATTCAAAGATTCCCTTCCTCGTATTTATGTCAAATTGGCTTGTTCCTTTTTTTCTTAATGAAGCAATGAAAAACAAATATCTGTTCAATAACTTTAGCGTAATTAATTACGAATTAAAATTGACGTACGAATAGTAACGTAAACAGTGACACTCGTGCCATTCATTCGTATAAGTTACACTAATTGATAGTAAAAAATTTCTGAGAGATTTGCGAGCTCTCATAACAATATGCCAACAACGAATAAATTAATCATAGGATGATAATTAAGTTAGCAAAATTATCGATTCAGTAATTTTATTGATGATTCTTCTCATCTCATCATTTTACTAAAATTGAATGATTATTACCGGTTGGGAAATTTCCCGGAAAATTATACAATTTCCACACACATATAAATTCCACCTCCTCTCCCAGAAGGAGGATAAATGGAGCTCATTTTTTGGGGAAATAATTTCTTTAAAAACTTATATAAATTTCAAGAAATAGATAACAAAATATACGGTAAAACAAACAATAAAAGAAATGAAAAAGAATGACCAGAGGGATGACCTGCACAAATATATTATTAGCGTCGAGACAAACGGAAACTGTAATGCTTTGTTTGGTAAGGTACGGGAAGTGGAGAGGTACAAATTAGGTGAATGTTTTCTTTTCATGGAAATATCATAAAAATGTTGTACGGAGGTAGTTTTCTGAGGCAATTAATTAGAGATCAAATATTAATTGTAATTAATTACATTACTTATCCTTTCTAATTCTGTAAAAATCAATAAAAATTCCGTACTCTGTAAACATTACATATTACGTTTAACTAAATCAGAATTATTCAAAAATTTCAATAAGACCTCCTGCCATTCCCGAAGAAAATGTTTCAAAATTCAGGAAAAAAATATTATATGTAACTTGATTATGAAAAAAAAAAATTAATTTTAAGGATCAACAGACATTGCAATTAAAAATGATGGGGTTATAAAGAAAAAAAACTGAAGAAATTATATTATCTATCAGATATTAATTGGCAGAGGACAAAATTGATCCGATATGGCAACAAATAATAAAATACAGAAATACGAATGGCAAAAAAAATACATACACATATAAATATATTATTCAAATTGTAACAAGCAAGAAAAAAATAAAAGTATTTAGAATATGTGAGCAAGCAAAACTGAGCATGTTATATCGAAAGTATTTTTGAACTATTGATATTTCTATCGAATAACTCTCGATCTCTTCCAAAATTATAAGTTATATTCTAAAGTTTTTAAAATCACTTCGATTTAGTGCATTTTTTAAATTCTTATAATAATTATGAAATTTCACCGATATTATTAGTGAACTAATAATGAATTATTGATAACATATATGATCACCATTATTCACTGATAACGATAGCTATTATTAAGTGTTGTGGTCCGATGTTGACGATCATGTTGTTCGTGTCGTACGAGATCTTCGAGTGCACGAATATCTAATCGAACCGAGCCAGCATATGTCAAAAAATCTCGAACATCTAAGTCAAGCGAAGCTAATGATCGCCGACGCCAACCTGTAATTATATCTATCATAATGTGATTGATAATTTTTTACTTAAATATATCATAACTTGTATTATTAAGTTTCATTTATCAATGATTTATCAAGAGTTGGTAAGTTATTTCGTATAAAAATAAAATGAGAAAAACAAAACTAAATAATATGAAACGAAAAAAAACATACAAATAACATATTCGTTGAGAAGTATTGGTGGAGTGGACGAACTTTCGAGAGGTATCGGATTGTCTCGGAAATATTCCAGGAGATCAATCATTGTCTCAAAAATCATCTGATGAATACGACACTCTCCATCAGGCATCATTACAATCCGTACGTGCTGTAATTATTGAAATAAATTTGCAATTTATCGTTAAAAATATAAATTAATTACCTAGTAATTTTCATATATCATTTTCAGTTATTCGTTAGTATAATTTCAATAATTATGTAATATTATTGAAATTATATAATTTAAATAGGTAAATTCTAACTTTAACGAATTATTCAACTGGATAAGAAGGAAATGATAAATTGAAACCTTAGCTTTGCCTTGACAATTGAATGTCAATACAAATTCACCAGGACGTGTTTCACTTTGACGTACGAGAAATAATCCATGTCCGTCAACTCCATTATGAAGCACTAATCGAGCACTTACACTTCGGGATAAACGTGCGTGAAACCATGGATAGGTTTCCAGTCCGGGTATTGAACCACGTACTGTTCTTATTGGCATTCGCATTTCCATCCCCGTTGATGCCATCGAATGCACATTGTTTAATGACCTAAAATTTATTCATATAATACATTCAAATTTTAAAATTTTGATTGTAACGCATCGTTCAGAAATTTTGCTTGAAAACATCAAAATATTTCATTTCGTTAGCATTGAAAAAATTTCACTTTCTTTTTTTTGAGTTAAAAGTTTCATGTTTCGATAATTCAAAAATCAGTTGTTAAAAGAAAAAAGAAAGATGCAAAAAGTAAAAAATTCAAAGCGGAAATAAATTAGATGTTTGCAAGTTTATTATGAAAAAATTTAATTAATAGAAAATAAAATATCTTCGCTCTAGCATTTTTAAAACTTGGACTTGATAATTTTTGCTTCCTTTTTTTAATTATATGCAAAAAAAAATCACCGTGTCGAGAAAAATTGTCGATTACGAAGAAAGCTGGAGCCAACTGGTGGTGCAGATGGTTGTCGAACAAACCTATGTGCAGAATTTGGGTCATTTTCCGATACGCAACTTCGGATCACACCTAACCATTGTTGACAATCATCCCGATTTCTTGCCTCAATCACATATTCCACCTAAAAATTTTTCTATTGAAAGAATAAATTTCACTATGAGCAATAATATTAATTAATTGATTAATTAATAATAGCAATAACAATAACAATAACAATAACAATAACAATAACAA